AGAGTGCTGGGATTACAAGCATGAGACTCTGTGCCTGGCCTCTCGTTAACTTTTACTGTTAGACATGAAGTATGAAGAGAGGTCCCAGAGAATCCTTGGGTTCTAAATATGGTCCTTTTTCTGTCATTATGTAGTAGCAATCCAATTTCACCCTGGTAATAAAGACCAATTATCCTAGCTAGGAAAGCGACTTCTTTGCTTGCTGGTTCAGTGGCCTGAGGAACTCAAAACTGCCAAGGGTCAGTCTCAGCTTTCTATTGTTATATCTCTTGGTCCTACGTCAAAGTCGAAGGACAGCTAGAAAAAATAATGAGTTGGCTACGAGGTACAATAATGAGAGGAGTCAGTCTTACTTCTTCTTTGTTTCTAGACCTATTTATTCTGACATTGAAAGAAACTATATACTAGTTGCTCGTTCAAAGCACATACTGCATCCTGCAAGTTGGAGTCCTATCTGTGGTGGATGCTGTGTGGAAGATGCGCAGACCCACCTTAGAACTGAGGTGTTGGCCGGGCTCAGTGGCTCAGCCTGTAATCCCAGCACTTTGGGAGGCCGAGGTGAGTGGATTGCCTGAGCCCGCAGGTTCGAGACCCGCCTGGGCAACTTGACGAGACCTCATCTCTACAATGAATCAAAAAACTAGCTGAGTGTAGTAGCACGCGCCTGTAGTTCCAGCTACTTGGAAGGCGGAGGTGGAAGGATTGCCGGAGCCCAGCAGGTCAAGGCTGAGGTGGCCGGGAGCGGTCACTGCACTACTCCAGTGTGAGTGACAGAGTGAGACTCCAACTCAAAAAAAAAAAAAAGAACTGAGATGTCTGTTGCCCCAGCTGCCAGGAATGTTTCCCACTGATAGTTCACAGCCATATTTCCTTCTGGGCATTGCCCTCAGGAGGACGGGCGTCACCTTGACCAAGATTGTATTCCCCTGTTGGGGTGGCCCGTATCCAGTGACGAGTTGACATGGGAATACAGAGACCCAGCACCCTGACTTCAACTTGGAACAATACTGGAGCTGCATTCAAGCTCCAGAACAATCCAAGCAATCAGCAGAAATCTCTGTTGCAACTGTAACATAGCTCAACTTCTCCCTTTGCCCAGTTCTCCTGTCTTCACTCCTGTCAGGCATTGTTTGCTAGAGCATTCCTCAGTAAATCCACCGTATTCAAATCACCTTCTCAGAATCTTTCTAGGGAACCAACCTAGAACACTATCTATTCAGGGTGATATCACCTTCCTGATGCTACAACCGAGTCTTCAGGGAGCCATTCTACCATTCTATTGGCCTAGCAGCTTCTGGATGATAGTATATGAGGTTAGATTTGTACATTTCATGAGATGGGAGCCTTGCTATACTTCTTTTACTGTGAACTAAGTTCTCTGATCAGAAGTAGTGTTGTACGGAGTAGCGTCTCGGTAAGTAAGACATTTTCTGTGTTCATGTATGATAGTGCTGGTAGAAGAATTAAAGGTGCAGAAGGCAAATCCATAATTGAATGTGTATTTAGTTGAATAAGGACAAGTCGCTGCCCCTTCTTGGTGGAGGGACTCCTGTGTGATCAAGCTGCTGTCAGATATTTGGCTGCTGTCTTCAGGGAACAATGCCACCTTGAGGGCTCAGCACTGTCTCTGCTCTTGGTAAGTCAGGCATCCAAGAGTGAGGGTACCAGGTTACCTGCCATTTTGGGGGACTCATGCCTAGCCTCCCTCCCCTTCGTCATGGCAGCCTTGTCCACGGACTCATTGAGCAAGTCTGGGGAAAAGACCGACTGATGCCCACAGAACACATCAGCTTGTTCCCCCAACTCATGAGAGTGTTTGCAGCTGTGGGTGCCCTTGTGTAAGACCTCCTAGCTCAAAGTTGAAGGACAGCTAGAAAAAACAATGAGTAAATTATCAGGTATTATAATGAAAGGAGTGACTCTCTGACTTCTTGATTTCTAGGCCTATTTATTCTGACATTGAAAGAAACAACGCTATATATTGGTGGTTATATACATGGAACACAAATATCTTTTTTTTTTTTTTGAGTTGGAGTCTCACTCTGCCGCCTAGACTGGAGTGCAGTGGCCGCTCCCGGCCACCACAGCCTCGACTTTCTGGGCTCCGGAGATCCTTCCGCCTTAGCCTTCCAAGCAGCTGGAACTACAGGCGCGCGCTACCACGCCCGGCTGATTATTAAACTATTGTGCCTCAGCTCCAAACCCACCCATCATACTCCACTTTGGCTGAGATGCTGCAAAGTACACCTTTCCTTTGCCGGGCAGCTCCGGTGAGGCTCTGCCAACGGGGGTACTATAGGGAGATGCAAGGTAAGAGGAAGGAGATGGCAGTTACTATGTTCTATTTTGCTTGCTGTGACTGTCAGTGTCACTTCTGCAATAGTTCTTCATTCTGGCAGTAACAGTTAGTTCCAGTTTTCAGTCACCCTCCCCACCGACAGCCTCACTGTGCCCCTTTAGAGAAACCAGCACTAGCCAGAGAGTGCCCTCTCCTCCGATGTTCTTTATCCAAGCTCCTGTAAAGCCAGCACTACTCAGAATGCTGAGTGACATTCTCTACTCAGAGAGCTGGATCCCAGCTCCCAAAGAGCCCTTCTCCAAGTTTCTACATTCCAATATCCTTTTCCCTTTGTCCCCCAGCCTTTATTGACTATCTCTGAGTGGTCTAAGCATTTGGTTTTTTTGTCTTTTCAGTCTTCTAGTACCCATTTAACTAACTCCCTATGTCAAATCCTCTCTGTTAAAATTACTTGTATGCTTTCCGTTTTCTTAACTGGATCCTGACTGATATGTGGTTAGGAAACAGACATATAGAGATGGGATTCTAGAGTTGATTTGGTACTATTCTTGGCCTGAAATACAATAAATCCCACTTGGTCAAGATGTAAAATCCTTTTTTTTTGAATTGGAGTCTCACTCTGTCGCCCAGGTTGGAGTGCAGTGGCCCAGTCACAGCCACCCTAGTGTTGACCTGCTGGGCTCCAGCGATCCTTTCACTCAGCCTTCCAAGTAGCTGAAACTACAGGTATACACTACCATGCCTGGATAGTTTTTGATTTATTGTAGAGTTGAGGTCTCACCAAGTTGCCCGGGCTAGTCTCAGACCCATGGGCTCAGGCAATCCACTCGTCTCAGCCTCCCAAAATGCTGGGATTACAGGCTGAATCCCTGAGTCTGGCCAAAATCCTTTTAACGTTCTGTTAAATTCAGTTTGTTGGTTTTTAAAAAAAAAATTGTATTTATCGTATCGACAGAGTTGGAGCTTTTAGAGGAAGCACATGAGTCAAGGTCACCTTGAAAATATAATGGAAGAACTTTCTGACCTTTTTGCTCTGAAAATCATTCCAGTTTGCATACATGGGCTGCTGACAGGAAGGCGATCTCTCTCCTGTGCTCTCTGTGTCCCCAGTTATTCTCTTAATCATAAGTGAATGTAGCTAAAGACAAATGGAAAACATAAACAATGTTTTAGAAGATAATTTTGAGGGCCTAGTTTTGTTTTTTTTCTAAATGTCAGGGATTGCTTTGACTGTTAACTTAGGGGTTAAGAGGCTAAAAAGAATGTCAGGCTAGCTGACCAGAAATTTATGGTTAAAAAGAGGAGCTACTCTTGGATCTCCCATCTACCTCAGTGGGAAAAAGGGCAGCCCATTCCTATCGCAACCCCACACCAGCCTTGCTGGTCAAGGGCACATTATGAAGATATCTCAGGGTTGCCTGCTTGCTCTCCCATCTGTTTGACAGTGAGGTAGACTAAAAGTCTTGTCCTGTAGCATGGAGAGGCATTTTGGTAAGGAGAAAAGTCCCCTGGTCTTCTAGAAGCATTTGGAATTGATTTGGGGTGGGAGGAAGCACTTGAGAGCACTTGCTAAATCTCTCCCTTGGAGAGTTTGAGTCTATTGGTCTGGATTGTGAGCTCGGATTTTGCCCTTTAAAAAAGTGACCCAGGTGATTTTTATCGTCAAGGGAAGTTTAAGGAAGCCTCGCGTTGGGGACAAAAGAGCAGCTCTCTCAATTCTGTGAAAGGGAGCTCGTATTATATTTAACCACTGCAGAGAAGCATCTGTTTGAATGATGTCTGTCCAGGAAAGAAAGCTACGGTTACTGTTCTGTGAAGGAGGAAATTTGTGGGGCTGATTGGAAGCTCTGGCATCACGAATGGCAGATGAAGTCATTGAAGATCAAACTATTTTCTCTAAATCAGCGTTGATTTGGTTGCAAAACATAGCAGGCTCTGAAATGCAGCTGTTTGTTTCACCTTGGAGAGCATGTACTGTGCGGTCACCATGGAAAGAAGGCCTGAGGCCTGGTTCCCTGTGAGCCATGTCACACTTGATGCTTATTCAACTGCTGCTAGCGGTGAGGTGCATAGAAAGGTTTCCTGTGGCTCATTCCTCTCCCACAGCTGGAGTTACTCCTCAAATGCAGAAAGCAAAAGGCACGTGGGGCTACCCAGAAAAAAAAAAACAGGACCTCCGAGCTGTTGTTAAAGTTTACGAATCATCATAGCTGAGGTTTCCTGAAGTGGACAGAGATACACTTACACACTTACAGTCAAGAAATATGTGTCTGCCTATTTCTGATGAGCTGGCCCAGTAGGAAAATTAGGTTTGCTCCCTAGCATGTGACAGATACATCAAGGGTCACCTTCACTGCTGGAGGTCCTGAAGGTAGCTTTGCCATTTCTACAAACCTGATTTTGGTAGGACAAAAACAAAGTCATAGAGCAATGCCTTAAATGGCCATAGAAGAGCCCTCCTAGAAGAGGAGATTAATAAAATTTGTGGATGAATGAATGTGAAGTAGAGAAACAGCCTGACATTGGCTTGCAAAGCAGAGACTTCCACTTGCTGACGATGTGTGAGAAAATTTCAGGCTTCATTTCTCAGACCTTTATTCTTCTAGACAAAGTTCAGCCCTCTCCGTGTTACACTCTGTTAACCACAGAAGCCCCAAGTTCTTCTATAACTAATCCAGACCTGTGACTCCTTGGCTCTCACAGTCCTTTCCCCTCTAAGAAGGGGTGATCCAGTGAGGAGCCATGGAACGGAGCGGCAACCGTGTGGAGGACTTCCCTCTCAATGTGTTTTCCGTCACTCCTTACACACCCAGCGCCGCTGACATCCAGGTGTCCGATGATGACAAGGCGGGGGCCACCCTCCTCTTCTCAGGCATCTTTCTGGGGCTGGTGGGGATCACGTTCACCGTCATGGGCTGGATCAAACACCAGGGTGTCTCCCACTTTGAGTGGACTCAGCTCCTGGGGCCTATCCTGCTGTCCGTTGGGGTGACATTCCTCCTGATCGCTGTGTGCAAGTTCAAAATGCTCTCCTGCCAGTTGTGCAAAGAAAGCGAGGAAAGGGCCCTGGACTCGGAACAGATCCTGGGAGGACAATCGTTCGTGTTCACTGGCATCAACCAGCCCATCACCTTCCACGGGGCCACGGTGGTACAGTACATCCCTCCCTGCTATGGTTCTCCGGAGCCTCTGAGGATGAACACCACCTACCTGCAGCCCGCGGTGAGCCCCTGTGGCCTCACCCCCTCTGGAGGGGCAGCAGCCGCCACGCCAAGTCCTCCCCAGTACTACACGATCTACCCTCAAGACAACACTGCGTTTGTGGATGACGAGGACCACCCTGCTTGCGTGGATGCGGGAGATGACAGGTACGGCGGTGTGGACGGGGCTGCTCCCCTTCCAGCCGTCTCTGCCACGGTCTGTGGCTGTGTCTGGTCTACGGGGAAGGGGGCAGGAGAAGGGGGCAGGAGAATGCTGGGCCTGTTGCCCAGAATGATGGCTTTGGCTCTGCGGGGGGTGCCCGAGCCTGGAATGCATCTGTGCTTTCTGCTCACCTTTCAGGCCCAGCCCTGAGGCTGACTGGTTGGAAGACACGCCGCTGGAACCGGAGGCCTGTGCCTGCTTCTCGCCTCCCGCCTACGAGGAAATATACTCGCTCCCTCGCTAGAGCCTACCTTGCTAAGGGAGCAGACAAACATGCCGTCACTGTCACCTGACAACTGAGGTGTTCCATGCCTTAACCTTCAGAAGTTAGCCAGCAGCGTGGCCCAGGCAGCCCGACAACTGTCATTCAAGGGGAGAGAGGGGAAGTGGAGGTACAATGTTTCAGACTGGTAAAAGTGAGGCTGGGCTGGAGAAACTCTTCTTTTGGCGGTTTCAAATTCCCTCAGGCAAGAGACCTACTCCATAAGGCTCAGGGGCGGGAATTTCACCTGCTTATCCACCCCCCACCCCCTTCCCTAAAGGAAGGCACTGGTGCTTCAATTTAAACTCCAGTAGCCAAGGGAAAAATCGCTACTTCCGAGATTTGGGGAGTTTCCACAGTGGTCAGAGTAGGGACAGGGAGGAAACAGAGAAGAGAAAACAGACTCAGCTGGAGACTTCCCCGTGACGGTCCTTGGCCCCAAGGGAGACTCACGTATCCCAAGCACTTTGGCCTCTCTTGAGGACTCTGAGTATCTTAAAGTCGGAAAACAAAAACAAAAACAAGCAAACAAAAAACCTCCCAATGAAGTAAAATAAAGGATATCTTCTGTTAGAATTGTACTGAGTTGCTGGCTAAGTTACATAAAATGAATGATAGTAGTATAATGAAGTGAATAAATCCTTAAGGGATCGCTGAGTCACAGTTCCTCTTGATTGCAGCTGTTCTATTCTGCAAAGTGGAAGTTTGGTGTGAGGTGAACACAGGTGGACTCTTGGTCCACCAAGGGTGGGCTTGTGCCAGGCAGGAACTAATAGGGCCCAGTGTTCACCAGAACACATGCACTGCCCTACATACCCATAGATCTGTTAAGTGAGACAGAGTAGAGCTGTCCTGAAAACACCTGGAAAATCATGAGCTGTGAAAGCAATCTTTACGGCCCAGATATGCTCACCTCTGTTATAAAAAAAACTGGTGTCTTTCCTAATCTCCCTGAATGTGGACTGTGTAATAAACAACTGGAACAGACACACAGACTTCAGAAGAGACAGTTTAAAACCATTAGATTTTAAAAGAAAATATTTTCTTTAGTGTACAAAGGTAAGCCGCTCATGGTACTGGTGGTGTGTCCCAGAGGAAGACACAGGACTCAGTAATTCTTGAAAGTTTTGGTACCATGTTTGTATATGGAGAAACTTTTACTATTTTTTTAATCAGAAGGGTTGTAGGAATTTTTAACTCCACTGTCAGCTTAGACCAGCAACCTCGAGTTTTTGTCCCACAGCCGAGAAGATTAAGGAACGTGGACACCAAAAGGATGAGTGAAAGAGGAGTTTATTAAGCAACAAAGCTCTCTAGAAAAGAGAGGGGGCCTGAAATGGGTTACTGGTGTGAGGAGTTGGTTTGTGGTTTCATCTTTTTGGGGGCATTTCTCTCATTTACGTCTCATCTGTCCCTTACTTATTGAGACCCAATTTTTATTGCACATGTGGGTCCTTGGCCAAAGTTACTCCACCTTGAATGTTACCCATAAGTACCACAGAAAAGCCCCCTGGGAGAGGGGTAAAGCCGCAATGTAAAAGCCATGTTAATGATATAATAAGCCCAGGTCAAGTTAGGACATTCAGTTAAACTATTGTGCCTGTGTTTTAGCAGCAAAAAGTCCCTTTTAGCAGTACATCCTGGGTTGAGAGGATGCTCTCAATCACATTAACCACATTTTTAGTCAGTGATTATATAACGGGTGGGGTAGGGGGTGTTTCCGCAGGTAAGTCTCCTCGAGACTCTTCTTCTCTGTCTACCTAACCAGCTTCTGTTCCTCTCTCAGACGTACCTAATTTTCCAAGAATATAAGTACAATAAGCTTGCTATATTATTGTTGTGGTTTGTAGTCTATCTTAGGGACTAACCTTTCTACCTTCGATCTCATGTTTGATGCTAGAAGGTGGTGGATTAATACAATCAGTTTGAAGAAACTAGTTCTATAGTCAGCATGGCCTGACTTTCTGAATTCCTAGGTGAGGCCTTCAGTTCTGAGGAGGAAGTTTGGGGACAAGGACACGACTGAGCATCACCAGTGGCTCGCCAGCCAGCAAATGGCACTTTGGTGCCCTCACACTGCCTCTGTCACGACTCCCCTTCCCCACCCTCGCCCACCCCACAACTTTAGGGTCACGGACTTGGGCTACAGTGACTGTCAAATGCAGCTCCAAAGAGAAAAAGACTTTAGGAAAGGGTGGGTGCCCACACTGGAAACCGGACTGGGTGGGATAGCCCACTTGACTTGGAGTCAGATATGCAGGGAGGTGGCCATGGGGAGCTTTGGCTTCGGGCACCAACGCTTCCTGTTCCAAGACAGACAAAAAGTGTGGCCATCGAGGTCACCTATGCTTCCAAAGACATTGCTTTGGGACTAACGGCTTCAGGAACTCAAGGGCCTGCAGCAGTCAGGGCATCGGAAAGTGGGAATGTTTTCACTCATTTCGCATTTATTGAGCATCTACTCTGTGTCAGGACCAGAGCCATCAAGGGGGAATAGACTCGAAAAGTTCAACCAGCTAAAGAGTAGACATGGCTCTGCCCTTGCAGAGTTTCTAGTCCAGTCGGGGAGGCAGGTGCAGATTCGTGATGCGTATCCAGTGTCTGTTAATTGTTTTCTGACATCATCAGTGAGGGGTCCGAGCTCTAAGAGGGATTTTTACATAACCCCAGAGAGTACTGTCCACGAGACACCAAGTAACTGGTGAATGTCAACCCGTGAGGACTATACTGGGACCCCAAACATAACTGTCCATTGGACAAAGGGAGAGGGCAGGAGGGAAGAGCCTGGCAAATCCCTGTTCAGAGGCGTCTTGCAGGCTGTGTAAACCTTTTATTTCCCTGCTGCTGTGGCCTTCAAACAGTCACCTTCCAGTCCCCAAGAAATGATACCCACCTGCTTTTTTGCTTTGAGACAATTTACCACTCTCTCTTTGTTTCTTTTTGTGGGTATTATAGACGCCCATGTGATGGGAAGCCCACTGAGTGGCTCCTGGACTGTCAGCTCCAGCCAGGTCCTTGCTTGGTTTCTCTGACCAGCAAGGGCACATTCCCGACAGATTCTGGTTTATCACTCTCTCACGCGGTTTTGTGTTGAAGGTAAAGATGGAAGACTGTGATCTGGGGATACTGAGTTGAAGTTGATCTCCTGGCTCTGCTTTCCTCCTTAGATTATCAGCAGAGAAAGTAGTCCTGGTTCTGGGCAGGTGTACAAAGGTCCGGTTCTGGAACAGAACTTATGGGGCCTTGTCAGCCGTGCCAGTCTTGTCAAACATTTTAGGCTCTGTCTGAAGAGCAATTGGGAAGTCATGAAAGCATTTTTTGGGGGGGGTTGAGACAAAGTCTTGCTCTGTTGCCCAGGCTGGAGTACAGTGGAATAATCATAGCTCAGTGTAGCATCAAACTCCTGGGCTCAAGCAATTCTCCCACCTCAGCCTCCCAAGTAGCTGGGACTTACAGGTGCACTTCACCACACCCAGCTAGTTTTGGTATTTTTGTAGAAATGGGGTCTTGCTGTGTTGCCCAGGCTGGTCTTGAACTCGTAGCCTTAAGTGATCCTCCCACAGCACTGGGATTATAGGCATGAGCTACCATAGCTGGTCCGCATGGAAGCAAACACACCCCCTTGAGGGCGGCGGGAACCCCCATCCGCTTTTTGTCACAGGGTGGCGAGCTCCCATCAAACCCCTTGAGGCAGTCAGGGCAGCCTGGCCTCGCTTGGTCTTGTGGGGCAGCATGCCTCGCACGGTCTGCCAAAAGATGCGACTGGGAGATCCGAAACGGTCGGGGTCTTGAGAAGGGTTGGTGTCCATTGGCTTGCAGAGGAAGGCCAGGTACGTTTACTTGTTTCTGTAGAAATCGCCAGAAATGTTGATGCTTTTGCAGCACACGACAACCACCTTCTGGCCCAGCAGGACCTGCTTGGCCACGGTGGCCACCGGGCAGCCCAGGAGATGGCCTTGGCCATCCAGCACCAGCACCTGCCCCTCCGCCATGTTTGGCAGTAGTCTGGGAGAGTGGAAGTATTTTTAAAGGGGAGGGAGCTGCGATCAGATACTGAATACTTACTGGTTAGGGTGAGACCCAAAAGGCATATGTGGATGTAAGGTTAACTTTGCTGGCAAGTCCAGAACACCTGGCACCATCCTTTCCCTCTCTCCGTCTTCAGCCTTCAAAGGGTCCATGTAGGTGGGCACCCTCTGGAGATCTACATAAATAAAGCTAAAAAGTCTTCTTAATTACAGGAAACATGCTTTTAGGAACTTATTAACAGGAAATAGCTCCTGAGAGCCAATTTGGGCTGAACCTTTGGGCTGGAGAGACCGATAACAGCTGATGATTTTGGTGGGGTAGGAAAGGGATTGTCCAAGTTTGAGAAATGAGACCCAGGGCACAGTGGCTCACACCTGTAATCTCAGCACTTTGGGAGGCTGAGATGGAAGGACTGCTTGAGCCAAGGAGCTCAAGCTCAGCCTGGGCAACATAGTGAGATCCCATTTCAGTTCAAAGAAAGGCCGAGGGCTGGGCTCGGTGGCTCAGCCTGTAATCCCAGCGCTTTGGGAGGCCAAGGTGAGTGGATTGCTTGAGCCTGCGGGTTCAGGACCCGCCTGGGCAACTTGGTGAGACCTCATCTCTACAATAAATCAAAAATTAGCCCGGTGTGGTAGCACGCGCCTGTAGTTCCAGCGACTTGGAAGGCTGAGGCGGAAGGGTCGTGGGAACCCAGCAGGTCGAGGCTGCAGTGGCCGGGAGCGGCCACTGCACTCCAGTCTGGGTGACAGCGTGAGACTCCAACTCAAAAAAAAAAAAGGAAGGCAGAATCTTGGGCATCACCAAAGGTTTACTGAATCAGAATCAGCATTAAAAGAAAAAAGAAAGACAGACAGAAAGAAGAAAAAGAGAGAAATAAGACCCAAACATTAAGATGATTTCCCAAAGGTCTTAAGACATTTCCTTTCTCTCTTTTGGGCAATTGTGATCTTTTG